GTATTCATTCAATTCAATGAAATAAGGAAAATTTGATGGTTGGTTGTGCGATGCAATTAACTTGGGGCGTTGTCATTCATAGTCTAAAGGAATAATAACTAGTAATTGGTTTATATGCATATGTCATGTGTGGAAAAGGACCCTCTAACTAGCCTTTCACCCTTATCAATTCACCAAATTCGTTTTTACAAAGTATTTTATGCAAAGTTTCTGTTTTAAGTTTTAACTTCGTCAAAAACAATCCCCCTTTCATTTAGTCTTGTTATTTGAGTCAAAATCTGTTTTCTTTTAGTCTTTTGAGTCAAGCTAAGTTTTATTTTCGTCAAAATCACTTGTTAGGTCTAAAATAGAGTCTTTTTGATTGTTTGTTGATGTTTTGAGTGTTTTAAGTTAGTTTTGAGTCCATAGAGTTTAGTTTAGTGTTTTTCAATCTTATTTGTGTTGATTAGCATCCCTAGTTAATCCTCGGTCTAGAACGATCCCTACTTGCATATGTACTACAATTGTCAAATAGGGTTTAATTTGTGCGTCAAGTTAATTTTCACATCACCAAAATCGACCCATAATATACCAAAACGAAGCTAGAGAAGTGTAGAACAAGATTATACCTGCTTGGAGTCCAAATGGTCACCAGAGATGGCCAAAAAATGGCCTAAAAGACGGCTGTCCACGGGAAAAACGGGGAAATTCGCCATAATTTCTGGGCAGCACTTCAGTGTCCATAACTTGGTCAATACTCAACAAAATCAAGTGATTCAAAAATGTAAATCATAGCTCTCGACGAAACGAAGAGATTGGTATCTTACATGATTGCTATATCGACGTGATTTGGCCTTAAAACGCCTCGAAAGTGGTGGAGGTCGTCGGAAACTGGGCAAACTTTAAATCATTATAACTTTCTCATTTCTCCACCAAATCACATGATCCTGTTTGTGCCCAAAATAATATTGTTGGGCCGAGTGTAGGGTTGTGGTCGGCCCAAAGCGATGTCAAATACTATGGGCTGCCTGATTAATTCCAGGCCATTTAGCAGGGATGGTCGAGTCCTATCACAAGAAGGAGTAGTCCAAATAAGCAAGGAGGGCCGAGGAAATCTTGGTGCAACTAGGATTCTCGAACCAGCAATGAATAAAGCCCCGAAGGGGGGTGAGTTCAAAGTCCTAATGGGAGCAGGGTTGTTCGAAGCAAAGTTAGAACGGGGCAAGGACTCCCAATTCAGATAGGTGTTTAATTCGGTCTCAAGGAGTTGGTGCTATAAATACAAGAAATCATGCAACAAAGAAAGACCTTAAATTCAACATACAATTGCCCTGCGTAAAACCTCTCAAACACCTTTAGATTTTTCCTTTTCTTTTTCCGCCAACACACCTTCAGTTTGGATAAACAGCACTATGGAGGCAACCGGCGAACACCTTCAGTTTGGATAAACAGCACTGTTGCCGTAGAATCAGCCGACCGAGGAGCATCTTCAGTTTGGATAAACAGCACTGCGTCGAGGCCGATTAGTTACCTATCCAAGTCTTGGCCAAGAAGGGTTTTCGAATCCTTATTGGCAGAGGTCATCTTATCAGCCCTCTTGGCGAAGTAAGGTGTTACAAGTTACAACATTTGGCGCATCGGACGCCAAGTGATTTTATGATTGGATATTCACAAGTGAGTTTTAGAGTTCGGCATTCTGACGGCCGAACCACGTTCACCATCAAGGCATACATCACCTTCGAATATTTGTGTCTGTATAGTCTGGTGTCGATTCGACGTGCTTATACTCTTACGAATATAGTCACGGTGACTGAATCGAGCATCGACGATTTGTGAACTTCGCAGAACTAGCAGCCTCGTCTTCAGGCTCTAGAACCCAAAGATCGAGAGTGTTCATTCCTTGGTTGCAGTCGCAAGATTAAGAAGTCAGCAGCGCGCTCAACGCAATAACAACGAATTTTACTCCTTGACCGAGCTCGGCCGACGAGTTGGCACGCCTCGCATTCAACGGAAAGACTTAGTTAGCTTATTAGTTATTCGGCCTGCACGCCGTGTAGGCTTTGTAATTTTTAGGGTCAACAGATCCAAACATGAAAATTCTTCTACACAACATGAGGAATCAATTTATACCTATTTTGAGCTCAAAATATGATTGGGAATTGTTTAAATCAAGCCTAGAAGTCTCGGCCCAAAACCTTGTTCTTCGAACTCGAGGTTAGGATTCGTTTTCAATGAAACAAAACTTAAAAAAATGGGTTTATGGTGGTGAAGACATGCATATAATGGTGGTTTTAATGTTCAACAAGCCGAAATTTTTGGTGATGATGGTGGTTTGTTTCACGGGAGAAAGGGAGAGCTGAGAGAGAGTTAGAGAATTAGAGAGAAGAGCTACGGAAGAAGAAGAAAAAGAAAGAGAGAGAGAGTTCTAGAAAAGTGGGGGTGGCCCCACGTGGCACTTATCCAACGGTCACACAAAATACCACATGTGTTTCAAATGGAAAATTACCAAAATGCCCTCGAAGTTTAAAGGTTCATAGAATCTTCGTTATGTGGTTACACCCCTGGTTATGAGCATGGCATTGTTTGAGATATGGTATAAATATTTATGCACAGTATGTGAGTTACAAAAGAGTATTGCGAACATGTGTTTGAATGATCGAGATTATGACATAGAAATATTATGATATTGACGATGTTGCTTGACAAGGTAGTACATGAGCATGATCGAGGCTTTGTTCAGGCAATGTGTGTGTATTTCCCAATAAGGGGCAAGATGGTAATATTGCAGCCTCGGGAATCTCTTACTTGCTTGTCGGGACGACAGTGAGTTATTGGTATTGCTGGTTGCATACTATAATATCAATAACTTATTGTTGGCTTCGTTAAGCAAGCAGGCAACTAGGTCCATTTACGAGAGCATAAGTGGAATCTTTCTATGTTCGGTTGTTGATTTCAATACAAATACTGAAAGCATGTGAAAGCATGAGGCTTTAATTTTAATTTTTTTAATAATCGAAAATAAAAATTGCCTCCATAAATCAAAATTGAAGAATTCAAACTTCGAATCGAAGAATTTCGCAATCCCAGAAGCCGAATTCAACCACAAAAAATAGAAATAAATTGAATAATATAAATAAAAAATAACCTGGAGAAAAGCTAAAAGGGAAGCTTTGATGAGGGTTGAAGGCCATGACTTTACCCAAATTGACTTGAATCTATTGTCGAGGGGTCTTCATTGTTGTGACCCTGTCCATGAACTTGCTATAGTTGCTTTATGTCTTCTCCGCCCTCCTTCCCTCCCTCCTCTCTACAAGCTGCATGCATTCCCTTCATTGAATCCCTTTCTCTCTTTCTCCCCCCCTCGCCCTCTGTCTCTCCTCCTCTCTATAAGCCGCATGCCTTCCCCTCACCAAATCCCACGCTGAGCCGTTGATCCCATCGAAAGGGTTAGGAAGCTAGGTTTAGGGAGGAGGCAAGTAGTTGAGCTTAGGGAGGGGAGAGAGAGAGAAAGAGAGACCGACTAGGTTGAAAATTAGGGTTGTCTAACTTCGTAATTTTATGGGGGTGAAAGTACTGTAGAATATGATTATTAAATGAAAAAAAAAATTATCTTTGACAGAAAAATAGGAGAAGAAGACTGAAAAAGAAATAAAAAAACAGGTCCCAAAGTTGAAAAAACATGTAAAAAGTCTTTGGTGTCAAAATTTTTATAGTTTGATGCTAATGAGTGGTGTTTACAAAGGTTAAACCCACCAAAATTGGTGTCAGGCAAGTTAAAGACACCAAATTTTGACAACGGTGATAGTCCAATTTACAAAGCCACTGATGAAGAATGGTGCCCTTAAAATGGTGCCCTATAGGCACATTTTCTTGTAGTGTCCCCAAATACATGATCGTGTCGTTTGGATAATGAAATATGCAATTCTTAAAATAGTCAAGCTACCAAACTGTAAACCACAGGCCACAGACAAGAAATAACCCAAATGGGGCGGTCAACCATCAAAAAATTTCCTGGATTTACCTCCTCCTCCCCTCCTATTCCATCATCATTTTCCTAAAACAATTTTTCGTAATTTCTGTAATCTCATGTCCTATCTTGTAACCAAGGAAAAGAAACGATGGAAATAGTGATGAAATTTCATGACACAAATTGAAGAAAAGAGTAGGAGGAATTGGAGAAACTAGCTAGGTACCTCAAATTGTTATCGCGGTTGTGGTTGCATCGGTGGTTGTGGTAAATATATTGGAGGAAAAGTGGTAGGAGATTAAAAGATGGCGGCGGCAGTGGCTGCAGCAACCGGTGCGACGAATAATTCATCAGATGGTTCAATAGTATGTTACGCTCCAACCATGATCACTACTAACGGTATATGGCAGGGCGACAATCCTTTAGATTACTCCCTCCCGCTCTTCATCTTGCAATTAACAATGGTGGTCGTTACCACTCGAATTCTCGTTCTCATTCTCAAACCCTTTCGCCAACCTCGTGTTATCTCAGAAATCCTGGTATGTATGTACATGCGTACGGACGTACGAGGAAATTTATATATCAATTAACATCCAGCTAGATAAATGTCCTTTTTATCTAGATTATGAACTTAATCGTTTCAATCTGCATGCATGCATGTATGGTTTAACTAATCAATCAACTATTTAAATGTTGTAATTGCAGGGTGGAGTATTATTAGGGCCATCGGTGCTTGGAAAGAGTGATAAATTCGCCAACACAATCTTCCCTCTAAGAAGCGTGATGGTGTTGGAGACAATGGCAAACGTGGGTCTCCTCTACTTTCTCTTCCTCGTCGGATTGGAAATGGACATTTCAGTGATTCGTCGAATGGGGAAAAGGGCTGTTGTCATTGCCATTTCCGGTATGATCCTTCCCTTTCTCATCGGCGCCGCCTTCTCCTTCCTTCTCCACAAGCGGGAACAATCCATGAACCAAGGCACTTTTATCCTCTTCCTTGGCGTTGCCCTCTCCGTCACCGCTTTTCCTGTCCTGGTCCGTGTCCTGGCTGAGCTCAAACTCATCAACACTGAGATTGGCAGGATTGCCCTCTCCTCCGCTCTTGTCAACGACATGTGCGCTTGGGCTCTCTTGGCTCTTGCAATTGCCCTGGCCGAAAATGACTCCACTTCCTTGGCTTCCCTCTACGTCGTCCTGTCCAGCGGGGCCTTTGTTCTAGTTTGTATCTTCATCGTCCGCCCTGCCATTTGTTGGCTCATTCGAAGAACCCCCGAAGGAGAGACCTTCAGTGAGTTCTACATCTGCCTCATCCTCACCGGCGTCATGATCTCTGGCTTCGTCACGGATGCCATCGGGACTCACTCCGTCTTCGGTGCATTTGTGTTTGGGCTGGTGATTCCCAATGGGCCTCTTGGAGCTACGCTGATTGAGAAGCTTGAGGATTTCGTCTCGGGGCTTCTGCTTCCTCTTTTCTTCGCAATCAGCGGTCTCAGAACCAATATAGCCAGCATTACTGGCCCCGGCACGTGGGGGATTCTGTTGCTCGTCATATTCCTGGCCTGCATCGGCAAAATAGCCGGCACCGTCATCGTCTGCTTGTTTTACCAGATGCCGTTCGACGAAGGGTTTACTCTAGGGCTCCTCATGAACTGCAAAGGCCTCGTCGAGCTCATTGTTTTGAATGTCGGCAAAGACCAAAAAGTTTTAGACGACGAGGCGTTTGCCATCATGGTAATTGTGGCGGTTGTCATGACTGGAATCATTACGCCAATCGTGACCACCGTCTACAAGCCAGCCAGAAGGTTTATACCTTACAAACGAAGAAGCATTCAGAGGTCGAAGCCAGATGCGGAGTTACGAATACTTGTTTGCGTCCACACTCCTCGAAACGTGCCGACTATGATCAATCTCCTTGAAGCTTCCCACCCGACGAAACGATCCCCGCTTTGTGTCTACATTCTCCACTTGGTGGAGCTGAGCGGCCGCGCTTCCGCCATGCTCATTGTGCACAACACCAGAAAATCCGGGAGGCCTGCTCTCAACAGAACACAAGCTCAGTCGGATCACATTATCAACGCATTCGAAAACTACGAGCAGCATGCCCCGGGCAACTGTGTTTCGGTGCAGCCGCTCACGGCCATTTCCCCCTACTCCACCATGCACGAAGACATCTGCAACTTGGCCGAGGACAAGCGCGTCGCCTTCTTAATCATTCCTTTCCACAAACAGCAAACTGTGGACGGGGGAATGGAGGCAATGAACCCGGCTTTTCGGACAATGAACCAGAACGTGCTTACAAATGCACCTTGCTCCGTTGGAATCCTTGTGGACAGAGGCCTCAACGGCTCCAATCGCTTGGCTGCTGCAAATCAAATCTCGCATCACGTGGTTATTCTCTTCTTTGGAGGACCCGACGACAGAGAGGCCTTGTCCTATGCCTGGAGGATGTCGGAGCATCCCGGGATAAACCTCAACGTCATGCGGTTTGTTCCAGGGGAGGAAGCTGGACTGGAGAGAGCTGCTTCTACTTCCACTAGTAATGTGGATGGCAACGGGAACAATTCGAGGATACTGTCGGTGGAGATGGAGTTAGGGTGGGAGAAGCAGCTCGACGAGGAGTTGATCAATGATTTTAGAATGAAAAATGCCAACGAAGAGTCGGTTGTTTACACCGAGAAGGTGGTGAATAACGGAGAGGAGACGGTGGCGGCAATTAGGTCCATGGACAACGTTCACGATCTCTTCATTGTTGGGAGAGGGCAAGGGATGGTATCGCCTTTGACGGCGGGACTGACGGACTGGAGTGAGTGCCCGGAACTTGGTGCCATTGGAGATTTGTTAGCATCTTCAGACTTTGCTGCCACGGCGTCGGTGTTGGTGATGCAACAATATGTTGGAGATCATGATCAAGGACCAGCAGAAGTCGACACCCTCGACACGCCCGACACTCCTCCCGACCAACAAAACCCACAATTTAACAGCGTCCACAACATTAACCGCCGCCCACAACCACCCAGCAGGCCCAACAATGGCTTTAACCCCTAATCGTTTCACCACTTTTCACATTTTGAAAACCATTTTTTCCCGTCTTTTCTATATTTTACAGTGAACAATATATACAAGATATGTACAACTTATGATATTGTAGGTATATGACACTGCATATCTTTGCTTGCTATTTTTTGCAATGAACAATATATACAAGGTATGTACAACTTATGATATTGTAGGTATATGACACTGCATATCTTAGCTTGTTATTTTTGACAGTGAACAATATATACAAGAAATGTACAACTTATGATATTGTAGGATTTGACACTGCATATCTTTGCTTGCTATTTTTTACAGTGAACAATATATACAAGATATGTACAACTTATGAAATTGTAAGTATATGACACTGCATATTTTTGCTTGCTTATGGCACGAATTAAATTTCGGGTTGCATTGAGGCTTCTTTTGATCCCGTTGATACTATTGACATGTATGGATATGAAAATTTCAGGGAGCTAGTGCTCTTATACAAGTCACAATTCATCATGCTAGCTGGCCAGTTATAGCAAACGTCACTAAAACAAGAATAAGCCTAATAATCCCAAGATTAAAACCTTTAATAGTGATTAAGCTAATCACTAATTACATGTTTCTCCGTGGGATGCAAATCTGGAAGAAGCTTCTCTGTGTATGGTTCGATATACGCAACTTTGATCTCAGAGTTTACATCTTCTTTGGGAGGAAAATACTCAGCTTTCATCTCAGAGACCAACTGAAAAAGTGTGTCATTTGAAACCCCATGAAATAAGTACACCATATCTACAAGTGAGTAAAAAAGATAATGTGAAATACTCGAGCGGATGGCTTTATGATGGGAATCAAGGGGTCTTGTTGCTACAGTTCTTCCGTGTCTGTTCTGAACTTCAGACACAAGTGTGCAAGCATCTGATCCTGCAGGCGTTGAGGCAGCTGGTAATATTTGGCATCGAAGTCACTTGGCACACCATTTACAGTAGCTCGTAAACGACATCGAAATCCTTTTCATATGAGACAACAACTTCATCCAAAATTGGAACAAACTTCTTGCAGTGTCCACACCAAGGAGCATAGAACGCCAGCAACACATTTTCCGGATTTGACGTACTTCTGGATGTTCTCAGTGACTACGACCTTGAGATCTCCAATGAGAAAGCTTATGCCTTCTTTCTTATATTTCTCAGCAACTTCACGATATGTTGATTTGAAAGCATTAGAAGACTCACTGGTGAAGTTCAAAAACAACATAGCCTTCTTATTTGGATTGTTAAAGAATTCAACCCCATCATCATCTCATTCCTACACAATTGCTCCTCAGCTTCATTCATCATCTCATTCCTACTCAATCGGATTGATTCCCCTTGGCGCAATACTTGTTCGCTATCACATTCGAGCTTCCCAAATTCACAGTCAAGCGCCTCGGCAAGTTATTCTCCTAGATCATCCTATCAAACAACCTCAATGTCTCATCAAACTTGCCATTCTTGCTTAAGGCATCCAAAACCAAATTACAATCCACGACGCTCATCTTCACCTTAGAATACATGTAATTATCGTAAGTCAAAGCAGTCGCTGTATTTTCATGGGACAAGCAAAGAGGGTTCAATCGAACAATTTTTCCCTCATCCATAACAGCACTTCTTTGGAGATTTTCCAATTTCACTGGGACAGATGAAGAAGTTACACCCCTACTTACTTCCCTACCCAAGTTTGGTTCTAGCAAGATTCCATTGCTTTGATGAAATATCATCTTCAACCGTATCTTCAGAAACTTGGAATGGAATAGAGCCATTAGACCCTTCTTTGTCAAGGAATACAATCTGATCATCTTCCACAATATTTTGATTACGATCAAACCACTGAAAGTGCACCAACCCCTCATCACCACTTGCTATGCTAACAAGTCTTTTACAACTATGAGGTGCAATAATGTGAACGAGTGGCTGAATGAACATATTGTCTTCAAGCAGTCGCCTAGACATTTCAGCAAACAGTCCATCCGCATTCAAATCCATCTTCACGAATTTGCCCACAAGATGCCAATGGACCCACCCATATTTATCATTCAAGAAAGAAAGTACGCCAAAAAAGCGCGAATAGAATATGGCTCTCCAATGTTCAGAATTATAACAGAAAGGAATACCTCAGGTCTAGTTTTTGTGTTATCGGAGAACGAGTGGCACTCAGATTCAGTGCCAATTGGAAGCAGCCGCGGAGTTGTGGTCTTGGTCGAAGCATGAATCACAATATTCGATCCCGGATGCAAAACTGTGGCTGCAACTGAATTTTCCTAGTGTGGCTTGACGGGCGACATTGGGTCTGGAGTTGAGTCTCCCCCGATGCCAAGATCCCAGGTCACGGCGTAACAGAGCAAGCTCATGGCGGACGACTGCGAGTGCAGAGTCCATAGCGTCACGGGCCGCACATGTCAAAGCTTCAAAGGAGTCTAACGCAGCTGAAACGCGTACGTTCATGGCAGCAGGACGAGAGGTATTGGATTGGCTGGCAAACATGAGGGAAACCAGGAACGAGATGGCTGATCCCAATGAGCAAGCAGCAATAGAAATGGCTATGGAGAAGATGAAGTAGAAGGGAGCAGGGCTACAATGTATTTTTTGTGTTCTGTATTTCTTTGTAAAATTCTGCTTCCTTTTCAATACTATTACTGAGAGCTAGTGCTCTCATGCAAGTCACAAATCATCATACCAGCTGGCCAATTATAACAAACGGCACTATAACAGGAATTATAAGCCTAATAATCCCAAGATTAAAACCTTTGATAGTGATTAAGCTAATCACTAATTACCGATCACATCAGCATCACTTTCAGAAAATCGTTCCTAGAGATCCTCCCAAACTTTGTACGTGATGCAACGTCCAGTTCAAGAGAATTTTGGATCCAGTTCGTGAAGAAGAGATCTTCGTCTTACAGTCTTACCGTCAATAATAAAACCGGTTTTGTTCTTGAGAATCAAAGAAATGGCTCGGCCCCATTCAGTTCGTCAAAGGAAAAGAGGTCCACGGTCTCGCTGTCGGCCGTTGCCCATGGGTGTTAGGCACGACAAGGAAGGAGAAGATTAATGCTGCTTCTGATAGCGGCAGAAAACGAGCTAGGGATCGGAATACGATAATATACACATCTTCCTTTTAGCGGAAGGAAAAAGCTACAATATCTACAGTCCTAATTCATACATTTTTCCTTCACAAAATGTCACCTCCTTTCGGGGCATTTTCTTCGTTATTTTGATGATTGGGCAGCAAGCACTCACATCAGCATCTTTGAAGTTGAACCCAAATAAACCAGACATTCCTGTCCATGCTGTGCTTCTTTCTCCATGTACTTTCAAGGATTTAACCCGTACCGTATTCACCTCCAAACTATAGCCAAACTAGAATATCGAGTCTTATATTTTAACATACATATACATATAATTATATACTTAGATTGACATTTCAAATTTTCAAACATTAACAACATATCAAATTCCCCCACACGATTTACCACATCATACATGAAAGATGAAAATAATACTTGGCATAATACCGAAACTAAGACTCGCATTGTATCTTACGGAATTCCATTTACCCTAATAAACCAGACACTACTTTGTATGTAGATTCCTTTCCTAAAACTCAGTATGTATGTAAACGTAGAAGTATATGAAATGAAACCACTTGAAGAAACCACTTATATGTAGATGTACACGAAACAACTACCATAGTTGAACTCACCAATCTATTATTCTACCTTCCAACAATTGTACTGTTAATCGTCTAAAACGTTTTGTGAGTCCACGACGTGGATTTATATACAGTGTCTTAAACCCGAGGACATGTATTTAAAAACGAAAGAAAAATAATCAGATACAAATAAAAATAAAAAAAAATAAAAAAAACATAGGTAAAGAGAGATTTACAAAGAGTCTGCAAGCAATTTACTTATTTACAATAACACGACTTCCTCAACTAATTACAGGTAATGTTAGGTTGATTTTATATGCATGTTTTATACCTCTTTTACTTATTATTTGATCATGATTTTATATTAAATTGTTGAGTTTGATGTGTTTTGTGTGAGTTTTGTACAAATAATAGTCCGAGATAAGTGTCGATTTTTAAGAAGAATTATAAGGGAAGTATGAAGAAATAATAAAGTGGACTGCTGCTATGTGAGAGTGGTGCTGGAATTTGGGCTTTATCAAATTAAATCCAATTTGGGCTTTATAAAAAGTGCCGGTTGGACTTTTCCAAAGAGGACAAGGATTCTAATTCCTTATTAGGAGGTAGACGAGGGAATAATAAATAGGAGAATAGAGAGCTTAATTGGTGGTGCCGCAAGGGAAGAAGATTGCAGATTTCCAGGGCATATTCACACACGAATACAGAATGGGAGTTTTGGGTTTCTTTTATGCCATCGAATTCATCCATGTTTGTCATTAGTTTAATCATGAACTAAGCCCTTTTGCTAGGATTAGGGTGTACTCTTATCATGAACATATAATTCTCGTTATTATACATTAATCTTAGTTATTTTCCATATTGAGTAATTGTTATTGTGCTTCATTGTTAGCAAATAACTGGCCATCATTTGTGTGAAGAACTAAATTATGATTGACAGGTTGAGTTTAGTAGATTGCATCTCATAACAATTACCATGAATTACATAATTGAGTAGACATATTGGTTATGATTTGTGTAGATTTGTGTAATTATCCATTTAGCGTAAGGGGTTTCGATTATCTATATATGTATCTATATATGTGGCTAAACATAGCATGGGTAGATAGTTAGAAACACGGTTAGTATATTCTGACAGGATATATTGACAAATCAAGGGATAATTGCTAGCAACATGGGAATAATTTGATGTTAATATGAATAACGGGATTAGTTGGGATTGAGAATGAGGAACCTGATGTCTTAGTGCTTCCATATATTAATCTTTTACAATTCATTCACTTTTACATTGTTCGATTAATTGTTATTTTTATTTTCGTTTCATTTCTTTGCATATTTGAATTTGTCAACGTAATCCTTCTTTTATTTAAGTTTAGTTTGAAGTCAATCTCAATAGTAAATTTTGGT